GTAGGCACGCCTTTTGTCATCTTCTTCTCTGACACCAGCCTTTGAGTTGATCACGGCAATGATGGTGTCCAAGTACCCATCCGAGGAAAGAGTCTGCTCGGAGAGGTGTTCAAAGTCTGCTTGCATGTCCCATCCAAACGTCCGCAAGAGTTTCTCGGCACGCTTGAAGACAGGAACATCCGTCTGCTTGTGCCACCTCCTCACTGCTAAGACCCACAAACGGCGGTGTGCCCACCCTGGCCACGTGGGTGGGTCAGAGTAGTCTGGTTTGGGCCCAGACTGCCACTGACCCCAAGGCTGTTCTGGCTGTTGCTGACGCCAATCTCGAGCTGACCATGATTGATCAGTCCATCCCCAGGAGCGTCGTTGTCCTTCTCGTGAGCTTCCATCTTGTTGGTCAGGCTGACCACCATCCTGTGGAGGATTCCATGGATCAGCTGTAGTCCAAGGATGTCCCTGAACTGGTTGATCCCCCTGGCACTGCATCCTCTGCGACCCCATTCGCATTGGTATTGAGTGTCATCCCTATCTCGGTAGCATATGCTCTTGGCTGCCAACTTGCATTCTGAGACCAGCCTCCAGACCACCAACCATCGGTAGCCCAGTTCCAGCCCCACCTCCATGACGACCAAGAGCCATAGCTCCTCCAAGTTTCATCTGGTTCTGCTCCACCTGGGACATCTGGATTGGCTAACGTTTGCGCATGGTCTGGGTCATTAACATGTTCTGATAGTGGGCCACTAGCTTCATCCAAGGCATTTAGGTCCATAGAACTTGCCATAGCTCCGCTTACCAACTGTGATTGCAGTTGGCCCAACTATCAGCTCATACTGTTTTACACCCGAGAACGCGCACGAAGCGTTCGTCCTTGAGCCACGGAAGTGGCGGATCAAAAGGTTGGATTCCCTTGGTCAAGTGATGATATGGAACCTTCAGGTGACATGACACAGTTAGACACTTTATGTACATATCCCTTAATTTCAAAATACTGCCTCGTTAATTCAGGGTGACGTCGTGACGTCGAATTAAATCGTACAGATTAAATGCGGTTGCTCATGAGGGAATTTCGCTATGGGATGCAGATGCAGGAGGGCCTGCTGGTCCTCTTTTTGACTTCTCAACTCCTTCAGATTAATAAAGTGATGATCCCACAGAAGTAAGATTCGCACCTTGAACTCCCCAGTTTGGGAACAGATCGGAGTGAAGACGCAAAGGGATTCTGCTCCCCTAGTCTTTTTTGGGGGATTGTGAGAAAAAGAACAGGCAATTCCCAAAGCTGAAGGAAACGTTGGGTGAATAGCAAGGTGCGATGGCGGACCAAAGGTGCGCCGTTGAATAAGTCACCGAAAGTTTTATCCAACAATTTCTTGATCTATTTCCCTGAAATTCCGGTCAACATATGACGCGTCAAACAAGTGCACCTTTTCCAGTGTTGGAGTGGACATGCCAGCACAGTGCTGGCTGAAGACTAGCACTAGTGCATTTGCAGGATAAAGTGGAGTTGGGCCCGCACCTAGACCCTTGCATCCCAACAAGAGACAGCATGCAGGTGCCTTTTTCAGCATAATAACTTCGACAATTTCCAACGTTTCCAACGATTAAGTGTCGTACTTCCCAAGCCAAGGACAAAAATACAGGTGCTCCAATGATTTCCGGATAGACATTGTCGCTCAGTCTACTTTCCAAATTGTACCCAATGTTTGAAGGCCAAGCTTGCACAACTCACCGCAGCTCACAGGGTCTGTCAGAACTTGCTGGACGTGCAGCATGTAGCTACAAGTCCTGATACCGGTGTTCTCAAAGCCATCTCTTCCTTTGTGGAGCTTTTCCACACGGCAATGCAAGCAAAATGACAGGAAAGCACATCGCAGACCACGTCAAGTTGTGATTCTCCTGAAATTGTTCTAACTGCATGTTCTTTTGTTGGAGCGGACACCTGCTTTCAAGGAATGAGTGGCCATCCAGTTCGCAGCACCGCCAAATGTATTTGTCTGTTCAAAATTTGGCGGCAAATACGGCTGAAGTCACAGGAAGAATGCACGGAGGGTATCAACATTCTGGTTGGAACATGTTTGTGACACACTTCCCCTTGCACTAAACCTTGCATGGGGCTTCAGGGATCAGCATTATGCTGTTCCATCCCCCATGATATACTTGCCTTCTCTTTTTCAAGTCCTTCCAGGGTATTTGCTTTTTTCAAAGTCTTGTCACAATCATCTCACCCTTCGCGGGCCATTTCGTGAGAAGGGCATTCCCTTGAGGTTTTGTGAAAGCTTTCGCAATCTTTCGCTCACATGCGTTTTGCTTGCGCATGGCCCAAACATTGTACTCGTAGAATCTCGGTGTCTGCATAAATGACGCTGTTCAGGTGAATTTCCAGCTTGACACAGGCAAGAAGGGGGCCCCATAGGCTGTGGTCAGTTCTGTGAAGGAATGCCTTGCAACATAGTTCTAGGTTGACCTACGGCATCCTTCATTGGTTGAACGCGCTGCCTCTTACCTTATTCCTTCCAATCCTGGTCAATGCAATTTGCCCGGAGAATCTGTATAATCTACAACAAGCTACCACATACGTTGTACTGTTTTACGTTCATGTGTTTATTGATATTTATTGCTCTTCCAAACAAGTTCTCAACACCTCTCAACTTTTCCATTTCCAATCATCTTCATGTACGCCTGGTTCTGCGCAGAGTAATGTGGTGATATGGTGAGAGTTACCGGAACCAGCAAGAAACTGGCCTTTCAGAAAGGAACTGGGCCCCTGGGCACCAGTTTCAAGGCTGGAAAACACCAAGTCTCCACATTGAAAGAAACCTTGCAAAGTCCCATCCGTGGAATCATGTTCCCTCACCTGACAGGAGCCGTTAGGCTCCAGCGAGTTCATAAGGAAACCGTCAACAATAATCGACGAGACAAGATCTTCATCAGAGCAGGTCTGCAGGCACGAACAAAACCCTCAATGCGCCACTGGTTTCAGCCATCGCCGAATGATCTTTGAGAAACCAAAGCACCACTTGAGACTAAACGCTTGCGGGTGGTCAAATGGTTCACGACTAGGCTACCCCGTCCCGGTCGCAGGGTCGCTTTGGAGCACCACATGTGGAGTCAATTTGGAACACCAACATGATTCTTGCTTGGCTGTGCACGATATCGTGAAAGGTCACTTTGGAGCACTAGCATTCTGGGAAGTGGTGGGTTGGTGTGGTAATTTCGTTTGCACGGTGGGTGAGGTTGGGTGGGATGGCAAACTTCCTTTGGCCGGGTGGGTTGTGGTCATGTTCAGCCTACATCCTATTCGAACAACCTTGCCACGCCAATCACGTCATGTCACCCCACTTTCGCCCAATAGCGTACCCCCAGACCACATGTGGCGCACAGGACCCGAACACTAGAACCATACCTCGGACAGCTCGCGCGCAGCACTTATGATAACGCTCCCGAAGGCAGCTTCCGATGCACTCACACAGACATTCTAAAGCGGAAGCGAAGACCCCTTCGGGAATCACAAATACAAACCCGCTAATGATCCCGTATAGACGCTTCTGGCATATGGGGACCGAACCCAATGCCTCCATATGAAGACAACCAGCTGCTCTGGTATTCGCCAATCCCATGCTACTTACATATCACATCTGAATTACCAAATATCAGAACATATGTCAAAACACAAGTCGGAAGTCAAACTATATGTCGCAGCCTCTGTCATGATATATGCCAGAGCCCCTGTCAAGCATTTCGTAGAAACCAAGTCAAACAACATGTCAAAACATTACTATACATTACTCATCAATGTCTTACCACGTGTCACAGCAAAGTTCAATCTACATGGCAAAAGGCACCAGCAATTTTTTCCGCATTTATGTCAGAATACATGTCAGAACATGATTCTAAATATCCATGAAGATACACATAAAAGTCAATGAACGTATGATACAAAAGTTATATGTCCAAGCAATCGCAGATCATACACGCATATCGGTTATTAGATGCCCAAATGAAGACGGAGAGCCCTTTCACACAGGCCTCATGCAAACATTGCTTCCCAAGCGACCCCAATCGCAGTGCTCCAAAGCAGCCCTGTGACTTGTGTTATAGGTGCATGTAGGTGCACTAATGAAGTATGCCCCTGAGGTCATAGTCTTCGCACACGAGAAACATAAGATCCAGTGTCTTGAGGACCCATTCCATTTCGCAAACTTCCAACGTGCGCACAAGGGCAGAAAACACATCCACCACGCCATGAATCTTTTCCGCATGGTGCACTCGAAGTGAGCCATGGTGAAGTCCTGCGACACGTTCAAATCTTGTATTCCCATGTATTCCCTATATTTCCCTAGGAGTGCTGTCGAGTCGCCAAACAATCAAGTTATTCAGGTTGATTTGGATCGATTTAGAATGCAGTTTGAACATGTTTGAACATGACCAAAGTGACGGACTTCACAATTTGCAAACGCAGCCAAGATGACCCCGAGACTCCTGTCAAAGGGGGAATGCACCTCCATGTCGGATAGAATCACATCATGTTGTTCGGCAAAAGACCAACCTGCCATTACCAAGGAAACCGTTCCGCAACACGTGATAAGGTGATACCTGCCGACCTAACACTTGTGTTGCAGCCAACTCCGACACACCGATAGATGCTTTCGATCATCACGCTGCAAGAGCGCCACCGCTCTTACGAGGGCATTGTCAAAGAATCAACGCTAGCACATTTCCACTGTGTCAACTATTCCGGACTATTCCCACATATTCCAAATGACCTATTGACATGTCTCAGACATGGAGGCCAATCGCAAACGTTGCTTGTAGACTCATTAACGGCCATGATTGAACAGCGTTGCTGCAAGTGAGGCACGCATTCAATTTCAATTCACACAATCTCTCAGACTTGAATCCAACATTTGATACATTTGACAAACATAGCAATGATATATATCTCAAACATATCAAATCGTTGGAAGCTGGGACTTCAAGGTGGCTCGTCTTGCAGTGGCTTTGCCTTACGCTGCCTTATGTTTTACTAGCATTTTCACACATAAAGTGCCAACACTTGCAATCCGATGCAAACTGCCAGTTTGCATTCCAAGAACCAACGCCCAAAGTAAACAAACATGACTCTTGTGATTCTTGTAACCCAAAAGTGGATCATGGTTGAACAACAACAATATTGTTTTGCTTTTCGATCTGCACACTGCAAGTGGACGGACCCTAGTAAAGCTGTGGTCAATTGGTACCACCTCTGGGGAGCTCAAGCACATGCTCAGCAGGGACACTGTCAAGGTCGCTTGCGCAATCGTCACATTCGAAAGCTTCATTCGATGCTTCATTCGATGCCATGTCGTGATTGTGGTCTTCGAATGTCTCCATTTCATTATTCTTCGACTTCTCTATCACCGTGGCTTTCCTGAGAGCTATGATTGGAACTTCAGGGTGCACAAAACAAAAAACACATACAAAAACCATCAAAAACTCCACATTTCAAAAAGTTCACCTCTGGCTGCTGTCAGAATTGACGTCCCTCAACACTAAGAACAGATGGAGGCTGATCCCTGGAGATGTTGCAAATACCTGAAACCAACAAACAACGGATAAAACAGGCGAAACAACCGATAAACAACGGAGAAAACGATGATAAACGATGATAAACTCAGCTTGCCACAAGCTTCGGCTTAAGATTTGCCAAACTTTTCCTGGTCATCTGACTGACACGCTTGGCTGCAACACGGCTAACCATCTTGGAGTCAAGGTCCACAATGCCCAACTCACCTGGAGGCGACGTCACATGAGATATAACATGATATAAAATGTATACCAGTATATAATATATATAATATATAATATAAATTTATAAATATACATAATATTTTATAATATATATTTCCAAGTATACATCAGATGGATACTCGTGGAAGCATCAATTATTAATTGATAACTGCAGAGGCACAACTAATTTTGATCCAGTGGCAATCTGCAATCAAAATGTCCAAGGCTTGCCCCACTCTCGGCACAGGTCATAGGCAGAGACCGAAGAGGACATCTTCCTACCGGCGATCGGGCGATCGCACCGGAAATCAGTACATTGCTGACATTGCTGAGGCTGTTTTCATGTTTTTTGGTTTCTGGGGTAACCATGACAACCATGGGGAAAAATAAGGAGCTTTTGAAGATCGACCTATACTTTGACCTATACTTTAAGATACTCTCAGTCATACTTTCACATGCATGAAATATCTGGAGAAACATGGAGAAACATGGCACTCTGAGGCCGTCCTCAGAAGGACTTCCTTCTGTTTCTCGTCCTTACATTCCAGTTTTCCGGTGACGGCTAAGAGGGTCTCCAGGATTTCTTCTGGATCCCTCACCTGACCCAGGTTCACGATACTCGGCAAAAGCTCCCGTTTCGAACAACAGCGCTGCCAAAGCACCAATCCCAAAGCAAAAATGGAAACGCAGGCGATGACTCCCAGGCTTACGAATTACATGCCAGTCCCTAAGGAATCCAAAAAGGACAGCGAGTCTGAAATCGCAGGTTCCAAGTGCAATGAGATTGCCAGGAGCATCAAGAACAAAGCCGTGGAGATTGCATCCACCAGGTTCAAAATTGGAGCTTTCCATGGTAAGAACCAGAGTTGCCAGACAAAAGACACCAACAAAACACAGAGCATCAAAGCAAGTTGGATGCCTTGCGTGTTGGGAGCCAAAACGACAGGCAAGGACAACAGGGGTCCCCTGGCCAAAAGGACCAAGCCAAACCACCATGACGATGGGCGGAAGTTGCCAATGAAGAATCCAATGCCTCGAATCCGGTTGGGTGATGTCAAGGACCATTTTGGAGCCTTCCAACTGGCCCAGCAGCACAGGATGAAGTGGGTAAGGCTTAGGACGAGTACCAGAATCCCAAAGAGTTGCATCATCCCATGGTCTCGCTGCCACAGAAAGTGTGAGGGTACTTCAAGATGCTTCGACGACCATTCGGGTGAAGAAAACCTTGGCTTTGCTCTTTGGTTTTTTTGATTATCTAATAAGACTTTATTCTATGTGTTTCTCGTTTTCATTGCTGGAAGCTATTTCAAAAACCTGCTTTGAAAGGACATACTATTTATCGTTGAAAGTGTGACTATCCAAAAACAGAAAAGGAAATTCTAAAAGTCCATTGAGCGAGGCTAAGAAACACATGAATGGGACCAAACCAATGTTGCACATTGTGGTGAAGCCGGACTGAAGGAACTTTCCAGTGACACAAACGGTCTTGTAGAAGTCCCAGTTCAATCCCCGATGCCTCATGCAGGAGCAAAACTGCGTGAGATATCCGAGGCAAGGCAAAGTTGTGACAACTGCGATGAAAAACAAGGCGGACAGGACATACTGCTGCACGCCGTGACTTGAGGCACAGCTGAAGCCCAAAGATTGCAGGTTTAGAACGAAGACTGAGGAGAACTCGAAGAGATTTTTCAGTGTCGCAGGCCAAGGAACTGACACTGCACTAAGAATGCCCAGCTGTTGAACAAAGGCCACCATCATGTCTGTGCCGATGCTTGCACATTCACCAAGTGAAGCTCGGGCTGTGTACTTATCGTCTGTCACATAGTATGCTACAACCATTGCCAGCAACACCAAAATGGGACCTGCAATCCAGGCAGCCACCATGGAAACTTCACAGATTCGGCATTCATCATCTGCCCAATACATCCCAGCTCCACATTCATCGCATGTCGGACCCAAGCGTCCACCTTCACATGTCCCGGGGCGTCGCCCAGGACAATGTGTCCCGGGGCATTTGAACACCTCTGTCGGGTCTTCCGCCCAACTGAAATAGCCAGATACGATTTCGGGAGTCTTCTCGTCCTCAGTGCTGCCACTTTTCAACTTTTCTACGCTACTTCCGTCTGGGCACGTCAGTCCTTCTGTGCAAGGCACGCAGTGCGTGGTGCCAGAAGTCGAGATATCAATGGTGCCCTCCATGCAAACACAATCCGATACTTGTGTGGCTCTCAAAAGGACCGTAGTGGTACCTTCTGGGCATTTCTTGCAGGTCTCTGCCCCCCAATCATTCTGGTAATAGCCTGCTCGACATGGTGCGCAATCTTCAGTGGACGTCAGAGCCTTGGAGGTTCCTGCTGGACAAAGGTCACAGCTGACTTCGCCAGCAGCTGGCTGTTGCCTGCCTGCAGGACATTCTTCGCACACATAGGTGCTACTATCGTGATCGTCTGTGAAAAGCTTGGAGTACGTGCCGGGAAGGCATGCCTGCTGCGATTAGACACTGAACATGCAATTCTCGATTCCAAGCTGCCTTAAATCCATGTTACTACTCCTTCTCTCAAGCGGAAACCCAGACTTCACTAGGAGCCTTCTGCAAAATGAGGCCGGTCCCCGTTGACCATGGAATATCATGGAACAGTGTGTTCAAATGACCTATGATGTTCACAGTGCCTACACAGTCGGTTTTTGCCATGATTCGAGACGCAGATAGAGGCAGTAATTAATTACATCTTGGATGATGATCAAATCAAACGGATTCAAATCGGGCAAATATCATCCACTTTCATCCACTATTTCCAGTGAAAGCAGCTGCGCCTTACAAGTGGTGGCTGCCTGGCGGCTTGAAGAGAAAGTCTCCGTGGTTGCGTCGTAGAGACCAAAGCCACGGATGCAAAGTGTGGGATCAGGGATCCATTGAGACCAGCGGGCTTCATTCTTCTTTAACCAGTTGCAGGCCACTTCTTCTGGAGTTGCCCCAGTTTCCTGCTTTGTTCGCATCAAACTGTAGATGAGATCGATGTCAAATGCACTCTTCTCCAATAGCTTGAAGAGGTCGGGAGCGAGGTAGCCTAAGTCATAACTGGTCATCTTGGCAAGGGGTGTTCGACTACTGGCTGTGGAAAGATCTCCCTGGGAATGGGCATAGGCATTGTATGGTGGGTAGATCACATTCACTGGGTTCAAGTCCAGAAGAGAATCATCCGGCGTCCAGGAGAAAAACATCGTCTTGTAGGTTTTGGGTACCAGCAAGTAGTTGTCCCATGAATTCGCCACGCCGACTCCCAGCGGGATGGAATACGCCGCAGTTCGTTGCATGACATCCAGATTCCACCCATCACCTCCGGTGACATAGAGAATGCATTGCGTAGGATCATGTCGGCAAACTGGCGCTCTCCAAAAATGCTCATCAGGACAAAACGCCTTGAAATGATTGTTGACGACAACCACTCCTCCATCATCACCTGTCATTAGCTGAAAAAACAATATTTTAAGCAAACCATTGCTCTTAGTTTTGGCTTGCAGCAGATGGGGTTGCCTACCTGCGACTTCCGAAAAAAAGACTATTAAATTGCTTGTTCCAGGGAAAACATATCGTTCTTATATCCCTTTGTTGAATTTTGGCAGTTTTGCCATGCCGTTTTTTTAAAACTTCGATCGGCCTTGCCTCAGCATGAAAGGAGAGGCAACAAAGGTTCAAACCGCCATCGATCACAGCATGAGCCGTTTTCTATATGCCTCCCTTTCTACATCGAGGTTCTCCAAATCAAACTGTTTTCGGAGTGCCGGCTTTGCCAACCAATGAAAGTAATAAAACGGATCGAAGGTTTTTGGTTGCTTTATCTGTTGCTGTCACAAAAAACGAAGTTTGCCCCAATGCTGAAGTAAGCAGAATTCAAGCGACAACGAGTTTCAGCATTGGCAATTTTTTACTGCTTCAGAACACGGCAGCAGATCTGAAACGTTTTTCCCGAAGGCGTAACGAAAACTTCTCATTTAAAGTGGGGTCGGACTGTGTTCACAGCGCGTGGAGAAGCAACGTTACTGTTACGCAGGCGCAGTACTTGGGACTCATTGCCGCTGTTTCACATCGCTGGTGAGCATTGCCCACTGCTGGGGTGGAAAAATGATGGAAATATAATCAAGCTCAGGGGTACTGAAAGGGATAGGTCCAAGGCTATTGTCAGAAAAGGGTGTCCATGAAAAGGATTCATGAGATGTCATGATGCCAAAACTGTGGATCTTTTCCAAGAACCTATCTTAAAAGAACACACGCGTGTTTTCCAAAGTTAGGAAACATGGAAAGACATGGAAAAACATAGAAAGACACAAATTTTTGGGTTCTTGATACGCTCAGGAGAACACACGGCAACGAAATACACTTGTGCAAAATTACTTTACTTCGAGTGATCCCCACCATGACATTTCAAAACAGCTTGTTGACAACACTTTTGTCTGAAGCTTTTGTCACGGGACTTTTGCCCAACTAACTATCCCAATCATTTGTTTCACCTGGCAGGTCATTGTGCAGGTCATTCTGACATATCTTTGCCCAACTAACTATCCCAATTATTTGACTGTCAAACAGGATATAAACATGTCAGTGGACCATGTGAAGTAAACTCCAGAGCTCTCAACAGGTTTGTTTAAACATGACCAAACAGGGCAGTGGACCACCTGAGCCAAACAAACAAACATGCCCAAACATGTCAGCACGCCGCCTGTCAAACATGTTTGTACAAACATGACTGAACCAAGCCAGTGGACCCCTGAACCAAAGTCAAAGGCTCGCAAGCTCACGTGTAAACTCGACAAAACCATGCCAGTGTTACTTCATCAGATCGCTGCAGCTGCAACTCTCTATTTCTCCACCAGACCTCTTCAATCAAAACCGATTAGGTCCCACTGGCAGAGCACTGTGTCAGGATGCTTGCAATGCATCATAGACAGGCCAGGACTGCAGCCGCTCCAGCGTCGAAGCAGCTTTGGCTTCCAACTTGTCAGTCAGTTCTCGCAAGTAGGTAGGAGGGCCTTTGCGTAAAAGCTCCTCCACTTGCTCCGTGAACCCCAGCAAGATGAGATTCTTCAGTTTGCGGGCACGCGTCAGCATGACATAGATGGCTAGCCACCAGTCCGCATCCTCTAGGCCACCACCACGACGCAAATCAACCAGCACACCTCCGTCCAAAGTCAAGCCTTGCGCGCTGTAAGCAGTGCGCAGCATGCCATGCAAAAGCGGGAACTGCCAGCGAATCACTTCAATTTTCTCCGTTTCCTCACCTAGTTTCAAATCAATTTTGAACTCTGCATGCACCAATTCCACAAAGAACAATGTCTTTGCGTCAGTTGTGTGATCGGCCACATTCTGAAACTTTTCTTCCCACGTCTGCAACAGAGCATCTTCCATGGGCGAATTCTTTCCTTTAAGTAATTTCACCCAGATACCTTTGGCCATGTAGTCCGGAAAAAAATGACAGAATCCAGGTTCACGACGGTCCAGGCGCTTCTGATCTTCATGGTGCAAATCCACTTTCACTACCACTGCCAGTTTGTCTTTAACCAATCCAAGGTGTGGAGCCAAGACATCCGCCAGTCGCACAACCATGTTCTCGTGCACCAGTAGCATGCCTTGCAATTTGCCAGTGCGATGCGGGTTTGGAACAGTGAGCAGCTGATGCGTCAGCTGCTTGTCTATGGTTTTATTTTTTCTGGAATGCCTTTGGTCAGCAGCTTGCAAACAAAATAACGGCACATCCAGGTCTTGCGCATCTCGATTTGCCCGTTCCACCATGCTGCGAGCAATGTTCTCCCAATACATGCCAATGACGTGACCATGCTTGAACAAGTCTGTGGTTAGTTCTTTCTTGCAATTTTCGATTTTGCGAGTGCGCAGCTGAGCCAAGTGATTCTCGGACAAGGGAGCAGCAGGCGTGCACGTGCGCATGGCTGTTGTGATTTCTGGCAGGTGAGCATCCAGAAACCGCTTCGACTTCTTCAAATGAATCACTGTATCAATGGTCATCAATGCCGCCTGGGCAGCATGGTGTTCTGTCTGCACTCTGTGCGGCATTTTGCGGATCAGCTCTTCGAGATTGTCAGCTAAGGAGATCTCGTTGGCAGGCTTGATCTGCAAAAAATCACCTGCAATCAGCAAAATTGGTATGTGTCCCATGAGCTCTCCTGGGTGGAAATAGCTGGCTGGATCAAGGCCTTCATCTTGACGGGCGCGCATGCTGCGGTAAAGCATCATGTTTTCCACTGCAGCTGGCACCAAACTGATTTCATCTTGAATGATTAAAATTTTCGGCTGCCAGCGTTGTTTCATCTCTTGCTCTTTTGTCTTCAAGGCCAAATGCTTGTTGCGCAAACTGGCTACACGATACGAGCAAGCAGTATGACATGTTCGCGCGCGATAGACATCATTGGAAATGGCATCCGATTGGGCATGGCTGAAGGTGGCAATCATGTATCGCTCTTCTTCTCCGGGCCTGGCTGGAAAAAAGTGACAAAAAACATCCAGCATGAGCTCCAAAATGATTGTCGTCTTGCCAGTGCCACCGGCGCCAATCAAAAGGCATGCGTGCTGCGCACGTTTTCGCAAAGGTATTTTGTTCTCTTCTTCCTGTAAAGCGACATCCATTGCCTCACCAAACCATCTGCAAGCAGACAATTGCTCCGGCGCCAGCTTGAATCCAGCGGCAGACTTTTCAAACGCAGCAACCTTCCGCGCCATCGCTGCAGATGGCTTGCTAAAGGTGCGCCATTCTGCTTCTGGCATCGCGACATCACTGTTTGCAGCCAACTCTCCTGCGCGCTCTGCGCAGTCGCTCGTAGCAGCCCGGTCCGCCGACAAGCGGCTGAGGCCCATGCTATCATTTGTCATGGCGGCGCGCTGAGCATCCAGTAGCGGCTGCGTGATCATGGGCACTTTCTCTTTCAACCTCAGTTGTTCTGCTCGTGGATTCACTGCAGTGCCACTCGCGCGCTTGTAGGCCGCAGTTCTATGCAACGCTTCTTCATCCCCTGTCAAGGGCAAAAGGCCCACAGAAATCATGTCGCGCACAAACTTGGTTTGCTTTTGACGATGAAAGGTCATGGCTTGCGAACGCTGCGATGAAGTCAGTGGATGATGTACTTTTAAAGGTGCATCTCCAGCCTTCAGTCGAACCTCCCCATCGATGTCTGGATCCAAAGCATCTTCGAAAGCTGGTTCAAAGGATTCGCCAGTATCTCCAGTCCCGTGGCCTTCACGCACTAATCCTGGATCTTCTTTTGCATCTGCGTCCAAAGCATACGACTTGGTTTTGGGTGCTGCCTTAGCACGTCCGTAAGCATCTAAGTTCTTGACCACTCTTTTTGTCAAGTAGCAAACATACTCTTGGACAGTCAAACGGTTCTGCAACTTTGCACTCGCATCGCAACCCAGTTTGTTCGTGCAATCCTTGTCCAATGGAATCAAGTATTTCTCTTGAGCCAATTCTTTTTGCAACTGGAATACTTCCAAGCACTCCCACAAAGTAGGTATTTCCATCCGTGCTTCAATTTTTTTTCCAGCATCCGCAGCTTTGGGCAAAACAGTGTGCTGCCAGTAGTGTTTCCATGCTCTTGGAAAGGCATCATATGGATTTTCATGCTCTCCTCGCTTCATCTTTTTGGTTCCTTTCTCCACATCCAGAAAGATGGCCCTGTACGGGTCCTGCGGATTGCCTTTTTCATCCATGTCATTGCTTTGCCCCAAAGGCTTGAAGAGTAGCAACTTGATCAAACTCATCTTATGCGGATCGACATCTGGCGATGGAATATGCATACCTTCCAGCTGTGGGATCTTTGGAATTAAACTAAGACGCTGTGTCTTCACTAACGCAGATGGTTTGTAATCTGCATCGTAGTCGAAGGTAATCACATAGTCTCCCAAAGGATCTCGACTGGATTGCTTCCGTGCACCATAAACCCACATATTGTAGACATACGCTGGAAGTGCCTGCACATGCATTCACAAACAAAACATTATGATTTTATTTTAAGGTGTTTAGACTCAAACCACAAACAACAACGACACTTCTTAACTACTTTCAAGACCCTGCCTGCATGATGGGATGCTCTCCACGGTGCATGTAGTCTTCGTGATTCGATGTGAACTGCACATGAATGTTGGAGTTGTGATCAAAGCTGTCGATCTGAACGGCCTTCATGTCAGCAGCCATGCGATTCCGCAGCTTGTCGTTTTGCGCATATTGCAAGGCTTGCTGCAGCGATGTGAACCGTTGCCCGCCCGGACTGATGTAGATGTAGGCATGGTCTTCCCCAGTTTCTTGTTCTACTTGTTCCATGGTCGCAGCAGCATTGGCAGACAGGCTTTTATCATGCGGCTTCGGTTGTATGAGCCAGCCCACTGGTAATTCTTTAGCTCTTCCACTTTGCAGCGACGGCAGAGGTGGACTTGCGCATGCTCTTCACAGAAATG